TAGAATCCCACCACTCCACCACAGAGTCACCGCAGTAGACGTTAGATGAGCGCTGTCGCTCCGCGGCACTTGTTCTATTCTTTTCCTGTTCATCAGGTAAAAATAGAATGGTCAAATGTGACATATATGTTTATATAAAATACTATTTATCTCCCGTATCTTTGTATGTAACCTAGCTATATCTAGCTCCCAGCCCATCCCCACCCATCCATAAACAACACACTTTCTGAAATTCCTGGAGGTAACCCTGCTAATATTCTAAATGTTTTTAATGCGCATACATGTGTATATATTCATCCCTGCATTGTTTGAGTGTGATATTACAGCAACTACATCGTGAATGTGTTTCACCTCAGAGACATAGTGCGGAATTCGGTGAACGCTAGCGAGCACGATGCTGTGATATTCACTGGCAGTGGAAGCACTGGTGCTGTGCACAAGCTCATCAATGCTCTCAACTTCCAGACACCGCCAGTCGTCTTCTTAGGACCTTACGAGCATCATTCTAACATTTTGCCATGGAGAGAGTTGGGTGCTAAGGTGAATTAAATATCCATTTTTTAAAACTTTATTGCTTGAGTCAGATGACTATGCACGTATGCACCACTGGCAAAAATCACCATTGACCCATTTCTGAAACAGTAAATTTACTTACTACAAACATAATTTATAAAAGGTTGCCAGATAAGTTATTATTTTTCCTAAGCTAACTGTCTATAATTGTATAATTCCTGTGGTACTTCCAGATACACTTTATAATATGCAGATAATTAACCTAACACATCTGTTCTTGTGATTGTAGTATTTTATTTTCCATGGAGGCTTTGCCCATGTGTAAGCAATCTGTTTCCATGCAGGTCATCAGAATACAGGAAAACAGGATTGGACTTGTCGATATAGCTGATTTAGCACTGAAATTAAAGGTTGGTTCCAATACCTTGTAACTTAAGCTTGCTTAGTTGTGCCTGTACAGATAGCATGTATTAAAAAGTGCTATCTTAAGGTTACAATAAACACATGCACATGCACATATATAATTATTATGAGTTCTCACTGCTTGTTTCATCAAAGGAAACTGTTGTTTACACCAAAAATTATGTATGCAGTTTATCCAAAATGGGCATCAAATGGGTGCTATTTGCAGAGAGAAATAAGCATCTGTGACACAGTAAAAATCCAACATGGCAAACTTTTACTGTGTGCTTAGTCTGTCTCTGGTGATAATCACTCTGTTCCTGTGTTTGAGCTCTCCTCATTTGTCGTGCCGGCGATTACAGACGCACGCTTCGGCGAGTGGAGAGCTGGTTGGCTGCTTCTCCGCAGCGTCGAACGTGACGGGTATCATGGCCGACGTCGACGCAATCACGGTGTGCCTGCATAAGCACGGAGCGCTGGCCGTGTGGGACTACGCGACCTCCGCCCCCTACACGGAGGTCGACATGAATCCTGTCACGGCGAGGTTGGTGTGCGGCATACTTACTGTGCAGGAAAAACAAGCGAACGACTATAGGGAAAGTGTGCGCTGTAGGTCTGTTTGGCGAGACTCGTGTGTCATCATGATGTTGTCAGAAGTTTAGACAAATTGAACTTTCGTGACGTTGAGTGTGCCTACACGTGTGTAGAGATGACATTGTGAAAATGCATTTATGATTCGATGATTTATTGAGTGACTGAAAAATTATTCAGTATGTAGGATATATGTTCAGGCATGATATATATCATATAGTATATATATATATATATATATATATATACTATAGTATTAAATTCCTGTCTATGGTACTTAAATGTACCTATGTAGATTAATGAAGCAGAAAACGCGGAATTGCTTATCCAAATATAATCGCATATCTGCTTTCCATACTTATTGCCAACAGTGAAGACCAGCCGCATGTGTACAAAGATGCCATCCTAATATCCACACACAAGTTTGTTGGTGGTGTTGGCACACCAGGTGAGATATCTAGCTTTACCTGTGTAGCTCTTCACTCCACCACAAGGGAATACAACCATGTGAATCTGGTGAGATATCTTTGGAGCATGCTGTGGGCCCGCTCAATAGCGCTGCCACTATTTCAGATCAAATGTGGGAGTGAATTTTTGTCATGTGCTGTTTTGCATTTGATAAGTGGCCCAATTAAGCCAAATTATAGTGATTTCAGTTTGTTTGAGTTCGACTACCTGGAGAAAGACAGCACATTTATTTTACTGACCAGTGTGTGGTAATACAATAATAACAAGAATAGCCAGCCATGCTGCAAAGATTTCTCACTGGGTTCCCACATACTTTTTTGTATAAAGCCATTTGGCAGAGTGAAGAGCTACAGTGGTAGAGCTAGTGAGATATCTAGATATACATTTATTCCATTTAGTATATGTTATATACAGATGTAGGCTGTGTAAATAAAACACTGGATTTATGAGGAAGGGTATGACATGGCCATGTCAAAGACTGTGCCATTCTTACCAGTGAAATAAGATTTTATGCCAACAACGGTGGTACAGATAGGCCTACTTGACAATACAACGTGCCAAATGTCTAATGGTCTCCCTCCTTTACTTTGGCATTCTATTTCCCTACTGTTGATAACAACAATACTATTACTGTAGCATGAACTTGTACATGTAGGTTCGTTCTAGTAACAGTAGTGATGCATATGTCTCTTCCTTCTACAGGTATCCTTGTCGCAAAGAAAAAGTTGTTTCGGAACCCCGTTCCTCTAGGTGGCGGTGGTGGAGGATCCGTTTTTTTTGTGAGTTCTGTGTGTTGATGAAAATAACGTTTTTCACCCTTGTTAGATCATCTCATTAGAAAAAGACAGTTGGTTAAGAGTCACGATATTGGTTTATTATCTGACTGCATATGTATCTTCATTTATCTATATGACACGATTTCATTACCACATCAACTGCCATAGCAAAACACTATAATTATTATTACAAATAAAACGTGCTTTGATCCTTTCTTACTTGAAAGTCATCTGACGTGCTATTGACTGAAATGTTATTGCTATCTAGGCTTCTCCCAGATAACTTTGCTAAGTTACCGACGCTGAAAACCAATGAGTTAAGTGCTACTAAATTAAGACACTGCTAGCACATTTGTTCGTACAGCCCAACTATCGTCACTCACGACTTGTGCATAGGTCAGTCGGAAGTCGCACAGATTTCTACAGGAAGCTGAAGCGAGAGAGGAGGCGGGAACTCCCGCCATCGTTGAGTCTATAAGAGCCGGACTCGTCATGCAGCTGAAAGCAAATGTGACCACCAGCGCCATCATGCAACGAGAACATGAACTAGTCAGGTGAGCTTCGAAAGCATACCTCGTTTAATGAAATGGATTTTCATGTTTAACGGATAAGAAAAAATAATCATTTGATAACAAACCATGTAATAGTAAAATCAACATAGCTATACAAGATATACTCAAGAATAGATATGTTTATGATAATAAGTATAGTAGGAGCCTATCATTCAATAAAAAATTTGCAAAAACGTTTATGTCTACAGCCACCTTTGTGATCTTCCATCTTCTATCTCAGGCTAAACAGTGTGAACGTACAGACAATGCTCGCGTGTAGCACCATATGTTATACATGACCCGGTCATGGATGTAATGGATGTTTCGCCTTGCCGACAAGCCTGTGAAGCTAATTCATTAAACGAATTGTAATTATATGTATATCTATCATCATGTGTGAAATCTTGCGACGTACTGTGCCTGCACGGCTGCGCGGCTCTCGTGTCACACATGTCTGCACTGCAGGGCGACGCTTGACCGCTGGACAACCACCCCAAACCTGATTCTGTTTGGAGATGTCTCGGTTCCCAGGCTGCCGATATTCTCGTTTGCCATCAAGCACCCGGACTCTGGCCTACTGCTGCACCACAACTATGTCTGCGCACTGCTCAACGACCTGTTTGGCATCCAGGCGAGAGGAGGATGCGCGTGCGCTGGACCTTATGCACAAGTACTAACAGCTAGGGAGCAGTGTGTGTGTGTGTGTGTGTGTGTGTGTGTGTGTGTGTGTGTGAAGAGAACCCGACCCGCTGTACACAAAATATCCGTAGAGCTCGATAGTCATATTATTGTGTAGGTACGCATGATATGTTATGCCGAGCTGGATGAAAGGCGAACTGCGCTGGGCTCAAAGCTCATTTCACAAAATATTTTTAAATAATTAAAAGATATCTGTTGTTTCTTTTACAATCTTTTTAACACAATCTTTGTCATGTGTCTTTGTTTGTTCCTTTTTCTTCCTACGTCCTCTTACTTTTTTCTCTTCTCGCTCTCTCTTTTTTTTGGCCGACGTTTTTTTTTCGACCCCCCCCCTTGGCTACGCGCCTGGACTCAATGAGTCGATATACCTGGAAGAAATTCTTTAATTCGCTCCGCCGCCGTTCAACATGCGTCGCGCTAGTTGTTGCAACACTGAACAGTTTTGTAAAGTTAGGTGGAGGTGGAGGCAAGACACTAATGAAAACAACGCTTTATAATAGTTTAACCGTTACAGTCAGTTAAAGCCACGTTTATCATAGAAGCTGTGGATCGTAACTGTATCCATAGTAAATATATATATATGAAGTGTGTTTGTCGTTTTTGGCCAGCCACGTGGACTGATCGCTTCGAAATCATACCCAATATGGCGGCGCCCATTAGGCAAATGTCAACAACGTCCAAACCCCATGGAAATAGAAAGTTTTATGATATACCGGCAAATTTGAGAAATCAAAAGAATAACGTGCAAACTTGTGATACGAGAAAACTCATAAAATATATTGATCGAAATGTCATCGGCATGCAAAGCGAGTTTAATGGTCCTTTTGGGAAAAGACAAGGTAATTCCACATGAGGCTGAGCTAGCACAGGCTCAGGTCCACAGCCTATACTATAGCATAGGCACTTGGGACAGAGTCAGTAAAACCTAAAAAAAATATGAACGCACATTTGCAAATACTACCTCTCAATTACACTTCCACTGTTGTGTCACTGTATATCAACTTTCTTTCACAAAAACTAATGCAGAACGCTCCCGCACTCGCCGGTGCGAGTGTGCTGTGTCGCCATTATAATGAATATATAATATATAGAGGTCTAAACATTATGAATTCATATTATTTTCAGTTTTTACTGACTCTGTCCCAAGTGATTGTGTTACTGAGTACAATCACTGACACTGAATCAGGGCTTAATAATAGGGAGTGGATATTTAACCGTATATATACGGCAGATCAAGTATGTTCACTTCCGCTATTTTACCGTACACCACATTTGATTGGCTAGTATATTTATGACGTCATCAACATTACGTTCGAATCCCATAACTCATAGGGCATATAATTAAAGGAACAGTGTAAAAAACAATGATTACAGTGTTCTCATTAGGAACCGGCCACCGGCCGAATTGACCGTCTACTCTGCTGTCTACACCCCCTCCAATATTTATAGTACTGCCATAGGCTACAACTGTGCCAAGTTTGATGCTTTTGTCAGCTGAGCTCTGTAACGATCATGAAGCTAAGGGACCTGGCTAGCACTAGAATAAAACGTGTAGGCCTACAGCTATTAAAAATCTCACTTTATTACATATTTCTTATCATATATTTATTATAAAATTCTGAAATAATTGTATTTTTCTTTTATCTTTCAGTCATGTACTGTGATTACACTGCATCTGGAAGGTAATTAATTATGCAAGATATAAATCTAACATATACTGCAGACTCTAGACGATCGGCAGCCCGGATATCGCGCGAAGCGCGAAAAAAGCCGCGTAGCGGCACACTAACACAACAACACTGCACTCATTGAATAGCAATTTCAACGGGTCCACTATAGATGCAATTGTGGGGCTATCGCTGAATTGAGCAGTTCTGGCGATTGCACGACGGGTTAGACTAACCACGTAGCTAGAGATTTCCTAGAAATGGTCGTTATTCTTGGTTCGCTACTCGGCGCGCTTGGTTTGCTGTAAAAAACGGAGTTGAACTTTTTTGTGCCAGCGACTAGTTCAGGCCCCCATATCAGTGACAGTGTAGTACATATGGCATGCGATAGATGGCGCAACGAGGCTATATGCATAGCATTTTGCTACAACTTTCCTGCAGATGCATAGCGTTTCGCTACGACTTTCCTACAGACGCATAGCGTTTCGCTACGACTTTCCTGCAGACGGCTCGCCCGGCTATAACCTACACTGCTCCCCGGTCGACAGTTCCACACGCTACACTAACTAACTTCAGTGTAGCGAAGGATACTTGCCGGCGTGAAGGTGGCGAACGGGTACCAGTCTAGCTATAACCTCCCAAACTCCATCCAGCGCCCGTTCGTACACTCTCGTAGTTTCTACGAGGTTAGTTTAGCTCTAGGGTACTAGTACTAGAGCTAATTAGTTTATCCAGAGAGACATGATACAAGATTGCGTGGCACAG